GGGAGAGAGATGGCACGTTGAGGGAGGATGGGCAAAAGGCAAACATACAAACAGGACGGCGGGCATCTACTTCAGTTTCGGCTGCAAAATCAAATAGAAACACATACGACAAATATGGGTTCCTGGACCAGAGTTAGCAGGACGGGGGTTAGCAGTTCGGGTAAGCTCTAACATGTACGACTTCACTTTCCTGGGACTGTATTTCCCGCCCAGGGTCAAGACGAAGGCAGAGGCTCCAAACTACGACAGATGCGTGCGAGATTTGCACGACTGGGCCGCGCAGATTCTGGGCAACATACCTTCAAGGAGTGTACCCATTATATGCATGGACCTGAACGATGGAATGGGGCGGACCCCAGACCCCGAACATCGAGAAATTGAAACGCCTGTGATTAGCCACGTGGGCTCGAGACACCTTGCGGGTCTGCTCGTGCGTGCTCTTCTTGAAGCACACCACCTTCACGCAGTTTCGGCGCACTACGGACAGAGCACATGGTATGGAGACAAAGGTGAAAGTTTGATTGACTATCTTTGTGTCCCACAGAGCCTGGCCGTTGACGGAACACTGACGGCTGGCACACTGAGCGCATTGTCGCGGCAACTGCAATTATTCAATACCAAGGCTCGCAGGGGCCATATGTTCTTACATGTCAAGTTCAGAGTGCCGACTTGGAGGCGCATACACGAGACAAAAAAGCAGCGTATACAATGGAATCGAGATGCGATGGTGGAGGCGTTTCACGGATCCCCGACCAGAGATGAATACATATTGGCAGTTGAGGCATGATTAGAAGAAGAGGAAGAGGTACTTGTGTCTTTTGCTGGAAAGAAATTACCTGACAGCTATGGTTCGCAACTTGAGGGCGCCATGATAGAAGAAGCGGACAAGTTCTTTACTAAGGAGAACACACGAGATGAGAGGTATCAAGCGTTGCAAGAACATCGGGGAGAGCTACTACGTCGACGGCACGCACTGCGACTTCAATTGGGGGCCCTGGACGACCCGAAGGACGGCGCTCAGGACTGGGGCCCCATTGCTGCCGCCCTGCTGTCTGCGAGCCCCCCAACCCAGGAGGTCTTGCCGCGCGACAGGGCTAGCCACTGGGAGCTCCCTGCCTCGCGTGGCACGCAGCAAAGACTCGACTGGGGGGGGTCGGGGGGCCATGGCGCGCAGTGTGGCGGCACATGTGCAACTCAGAGGTTGTGTTCTCCGTCGACGCAGGAGCCGACTTATGGGGAGATGGCGGCGGAAGCAGAGCGTGTCAACGCGATCGGATATAAAGCAGAACAGGTTTTCTCAGGAACTACGTGCACTATCCCGCCACATGCGACGTGAGAGAATTCTTGGGTGGAAGGAGTTTCAGGCCCGAACCGTGGATGAGCTGTGGGAAAGCTGGCGCAAGCGACATCTACGAGATGTGTGCCGGCTGGCAAGGAGAGCGGCAGGAGCAAAATGCGGTGCCAAACGTCGCCCCTTCCTCGCTGCTCAAGTCGCACCACCTGCTGAAGAACAATGGCTTTTCGCAGCGGCCTGGCTCCGAAGGCGGGATGTCAGCGCAAAAAATTGAGTCATGGACACGTTGGGCCCGCGCCAGGACTCCGATCACACCTGAGGGCGCCTGCCCTCTCAATGACGCCCAGCGTTTGAAAGCTAAGCGTGATGTTTGTAGACTCGAGCGTTGGGCCCTGCGAGCCCCAAAAAGGAACGCGGTCCCTTCGTGGGCTGCGCCGGTTGAACTTTTGGCGATTTTGCTGGTCCCTCCCACGGTGGCCTCCTATCGTAGCAGAGGGGTGGGTGCCTCAGAACCAGAATTAGAAGCGCCTTTTTTCAGGAAGCATTTGGAGGATCTCTGTTTGAGAATTCGCACGGGCTTGAGGACCCCTGTATACTGGCACGCCAGCATGGGGGTGTCGTGGGCCAACAAATCTGATGGCACTGTATTTGGGGAGACGGCGTCGGGGCTCCGAACTGTTCACCTCCTTTCTCCCCTTGGCAAGGGCTGGTATTCTACCCGCTCCGAGTCTCCCGAAATGACCCCCCAGGTGCGCGGTTTTCTGCCCCGCAGATGCAAGGGGAATGCTATCACGAATGTCTTAATCATGATGTGGCGCGCTCGACGCGCTGGCCGCGCAGGACTTGTGCAGTTGCATGACCTCACGAATGCCTTTGCAAGTGTCAACTGGCCTGATATGAGGGCCGCCGCAGTTGAGCTGATGGAGGACGGTCTTGCGAGATTAGGTTGCCAGCGTTTCGAGGAAGCATCAGTCGCCCTTCCATGTGCCGAAGGCTCCCGTTTCTTCCAGCCAGGATGTGGAGGCTTCATGGGAGACCCTTATGTGGTTCGCCAATTCGTAGAAGCCTTTCAGACGGCTATCAGGGATTGGGGGAGGCTGCTTGAGGCTTGGGGGGTGGGGACGGACGAACTCGTGGCACGACGCCCCTTCATTGACAGGGCGGTGGACACATCTTTAAGCCTGTATGCCGATGATATGCTGATTTTTTTTAGCGGGGCCCCGCCAGGGATTGCAGGATCTCGCTGCGGTCAGCGAGAGGGCCAATTTTCTCCTGGACAGGGCCCTGGCCGAAATCGGGTGCAAACAGAATATGACTAAGCAGGAAATCTTGCCTGTCCTCTCTGGGGTAGGTGCGGGGTCAGAGGCGCGAGCCCTGAGGACTGGGCGAGTCACCCTCCCTGCCCCTCCTAAGACTAATGCCAGATACTTAGGGGCCCGTGTGGGCGCCAACTGTAGTTATGCTGTTGGGTTTGATTTTCGCAAGAAGGCCGCGGTGGTCGCTTATTATTCCCTCGGAATTTTTTGGTCATTGAAACACACCCCGTACATAATTAAACGCACGCTTTTAATATGTTGTGTGCAGAATGCCGCCCTCCACGGAAATGATTCCTACGTATGCTCAGATAAGCAGCACACAGAGATCGATCATGTTGTTGCACGATATGCTCGTCGCGCTATGCAAGGCAAAGCACATGGGCAGATTGAGACCCATGACGGTGCGATACAACATCGTTCGAAGAGTACATCTCAGGTCTTGGAGTACTGGGACATGGCCCCTGCTAAGCTTGAGATGCGGGTGCGCCGCCTGAAGAGGATCCAGACTATTCTCGGACACCAGTGGAGAAACGGCCAGATGCTCACCTCCCTCTTCGGTCACTTTCCTTTAGACAGATCCGACGATCGAGGAGAGCGAGTTGCGGGGCGATGCGAACCCATGGGCGAGACAGATGCGAGACGACATTCTGCAGGGTGCAGGAGGACTCGATGATGAGGGAGGGTTCTTGGGCAGTCAAATTCGCACGGGGTGGTTGGACTTGTTCACAGATGACGAAATGAAAAACGAGTTTTTGATGCAGGATGTCACGTTGTTACGAATAGGGATTTATATGAGTGCTATTCCGCCCCCTGGCTGGCCCCCTGCTCAACGACCACCTCCTGAACCCGCGCGCCCCAGTATTTACGCAGACACTACTCAATGGACATGTGGGTATCGGAATGAGACGGGGGCAGTATGCACATGCACGTTTACTACATACAAGGGGGTCACACAGCACAGGATGGCCAAGCACGGTATGAGGGATATATGGACACGCGCGGTCAACGCGAATCTACGCCCCTATTGCCTGGTCACATTTAGCTGTGTGAAGACGGCCCAGAGACGTTTACTCGCTGCAGTTTCTCGTGGAGGCCGATGTAATGACCAGTCGAGGTTTCTCGGGGGGCGCATGCATCCAGACCGAGTGTGCTGCCACCTTTGTGATCATAGGGCTCAAACGTTTGAAGAGCTACAGGGGCGCATCAGAACGCACTTGCCCCCCCTGGACTGTCTGGCGGACACAGCTGCTCAGCGGGGTCATGGCTCTCAAGTTCGGCGACCCCACGTGGGGCCTGAAGAGGGCAGGAGAGGGCGGCGACACCAAGGGCCCGAAGAAGACCCGCCTCCTCTCGGACCTGCTGGGCGGCGACGCGAAGGAGGTCAACGCCGTGAGCAAATTACTGATCGTGCTTACCAAGCTGGCGCTCACCAACGCCGCAGAAATTCGAGAAATGACAGGGATGCTCTGGGTCACGCTCCTCATCAGCGCCGACTCCCCCGTGGTCAAGTCTATGATGCAGCAGGGCAGGGACTACCGCGAGACCGCGAAGTCGCTGAAGGACGATTCCGTGAAGCAGGAGGAGCTCGGCCCGCCCCTCATCCACATCTTCGCGGCCATGCTCCGCGGACTGGGCGAGTGCGAAGACATCGAGAAGCGCGACGCCGATATTCTCACCCAGTTCTATATGGAGAAGATCGCGGGGGCACAATGCAAAGCGGGCGACCTGCCGGGCAAAGTATTATATTGCAAATGCAAGATGGCCAAGCAGAAGCAGGGCAAATCAGAGATGGCCAAAGCATCCCTCGCGATGCACCAGAGCTACGACGAGGTTCAGAGCGTGTGCGTCCGCATGTTGCTGGCCCACCAGGCGATCCAGAAACACGGTCCGCCCCCGCGCGGACCTCTCGAGAGGGCCGCCCAGAGCCTGCTCGAGGAGCTCGAGGCAGGGTCCTCCAAGAAGGGGAAGGGCAAGAAGGAGTAGAGATCGGTCGGCCCAGAGTACGATTGACGCATGTACAGAGAGTGCAGATAGCGACGGTTTGAGAGAGACTGTTGGCATTGGTGGAGAGAGGATATGCTCCAGTTGAAGCAGCTATCAGACAGGCAGTGAATACAGCAACGGTGATCCAGCCACCGCGCGCCCGACCGAAGAGAGGGAGGGGGACGGGAAGTGCTCCGAGCAACTCTGAGGCTCCTCACCCTCCGCCTAGTTCTTGAACTTTTTCTAGCTTTTGTGCCCTCGTCCACCCTCGAACTTCGCTCCTGGCCCTCCTTTTTTTCCTCGGTGCTTTTCTGTTTGTCGGGCCTCGGTGGCTCGGTCGTCTGGGCTTCGCCCTTGGGCGTTCGAGGGTGGACAACAACTTTTTAACTGGGGGTTGACCCTGTGACATGCAGGTGCGAGGCGGCCTCTCAGTCTTCCACAAACGAGAGTGCCGCAGATCGCCAGAGCAGATCTCCTGCCAGCGCGGCAGGATTGTAAAGTCCCCTGATGGGTCCTCAGGGCTGAGTAGCAAGCAGATTGTAGTTGTAAGCTGATGCGAATGTATCAGGAGTGGCCCAGGCCTCTCACGAGTGGACAATCTGATTTAATGCCCCCAGAGCTCGATTCGATTCGATTCGATTCCTCCCTCCTCCCTCCTCCTTCCCCCCTCCACAATTACTCAATATGAAAATACTCTCCCTCTTCCCCTGATGGCGTCCGGGTGATGGCCGCGCACCTTCCGCGTACTGTTTTTTACACAGGATTCCCGGGAAATCCCGGGAAACGACTCTCGCTGAGGCGCCGGCGTCATTTTTTTCCAACATGCTGCTCTCGTTGAGGCGCCGGCCTCATTTCTGCTCCCGAATCGTTTCGAATCGTGCTCCCGCTGCAGCGTGGGCCTCATTTTCGGATCGGTGTTTGGCCTCCGTCGTTCAGGATGGCGTTCTCGCCCCAGCGCGGGCCTTTTTCTCGCGCGCCCATCCGCCCGCCACCACCGCGCCGCACCGCCACCACCACCACCACCACCACCACCACCACCACCACCACCACCACCACCAGCACCAGCACCAGTACCAACACCACCACCACCAGCACCACCACCACCAGCACCACCACCACCACCATCACCACCACCACCACCACCACTACCACCACCACCACCACCACCACCACCACCACCACCACCACCACCACCACCACCACCACCACCACCACCACGCACACACGCACGCACGCACGCACGTGCACCACCACCCACTACGCACGCGCGCGCGGAGCCACAGGTCCGCTACGACACGCGTCCGCGGATAGAGAAAATCAGCGCCATGGTAAGGGATGGGAGGGAGGGGTAGGACGTCAGATATGACGCGAGCGCACCTAGCTTGCCCCTCCCCCCTCCCCCCTCCTCCCTCCTCCCTCCTCCTCCTCCCTCACCTCCCTCGTCCTCCTTTCTCCCTCCTCCTCCTCCTCTTCCTCCTCCTCCTCCTCTTTCCTCCTCCTCCTCCATCTCCATCTCCATTTCCTCCTCCTCCTCCTCCTCCTCGTCCTCCTCCTCCTCCTCCTTCTCCTCCTTCTCCTCCTCCTCCTCCCTCTCCTCTTTCTCCTCCTCCCTCCTCCTCCTCCTCCTCCTCCTCCTCCTCCTCCTCCTCCACCTCCCTCCTCCTCCTCCTCCTCCTCCTCCTCCTCCTCGTCCTCCTAGTCGCTGTTTGAGGTGCCCAAGAGTCGACCGACCGCACCTCAGGTACAATTGTACACCAGCGATTTTGCGCCCACACCCGCAGGTCTCGGGGGCAGGGGCGACTGGGGGGCCCGCATGGCGCGCCCGTGTGCCTAGGCATGAGAATCTGCTACTACAACCCACAAGAGGCAGCGAGCATAAAACGACTGGAGGACATCAGCGTGGAATTGCACAGCTGGGACGTCGTCTTCCTCAGCGGAACGTGCAGATGGGCGGGAGCAGAAGCAGTACAGAGACACTACCTCCCTAACCACTACGTGTTACAATTTGGTGCTCGCAAGGGGAAGTGGATCAACAAAAGCTGTGGTTTAACGATCCTCATCAGTCAGAGGATCGACGAGCGCAGTTTACGAGAAATCTACACCCCGCCAACCAGCCTCCAGGGACGGGTTGCAGGAATTCGCCTCTCGACGGGCCAACACGACTATGCTTTTTTTGTTTATTACTACGCCCCAACACATCTAGCGTACTACGTGCCATTAGCAGGAGCGATAACCAAATGGCTGGAGCAGTGTGTCGATCGAGTAGGCAGCCGTACGACGATTGTGATGGGTGGGGATGTGAACAGTGACTTTGGTTGCCAGAGAGAAGCAGACGGGACTATTGTGAGGAGCAGAGGACCGACGGTAGGAGACAGGGAACCCAAAATAGAGAATGCCGACGGCACGAGTTTGAGGACCCTGTGCCAGACCAGCGACCTTAGCATAGCCACCACCTACCACATCGCCGAACCTACATTTTACGGACATTCAGGATACAACAGTCGTATCGACCACATAGTTGTACCGACAGGGGCCCTGGGACTAGTAAAAAGGTGTGAGGTCCTCCATCGGTCAGGCAAAAGACTCCAAAAGGTCAAAGTACGAGGGCACAGGGACCACCTCCCCATCGGCCTCACCCTCCTCGTCGCCACATCCAATACTGCCTTCCCCTCGCGCGCCCGCCTACAACAGGGACTGTGCAGGGACGGACTCATGGAGTGTCTGCGCAGCGGCCACAAGAGGGAGATGCTGCTCACCGAACTCGACAAGGAGGTGGAGGAGGTGGGGGAGGAGCAGTGGGAGAGAGCGCTGGGAGCGACGACGCCAGACGAAACCTGGGACCTTCTGGGAGGAGCAGCACGATCGGCCATGCTCAGGACTTTCGGAAGAAGTGGCACACCCGACGAAATCGACCAGCTTACGAAGCGAGCCAAACAATACCGACTCGAGCTCCTCACGAAGCGACGAACACTGCGACAGAGCCTAATACCAGAGCAGTGCGCCGACGACTATGAGTGGGTACAAAACGAGCTGAAAGAAGTCACGGCGGCGCTGAAGCAGGCCCGAGAAGGTGTAGAGAAACAAAGACGGGCGCTACTGGTCGAACGCATATGGGAGGCCTACGAAAAACGGAACCTCGCCGAGATGCACCGACTACGCATCCAGTACCAGAGGAACGGGCGCGGTCCAAAGAAAAGGTGCTATCGATCTGCCCGAACCCACTGGCCCTGCGACTACTGGTATCAGGAGCTAGCCCATCCAGCATTGGAAGGGGGACTAGGAGCAAGGCCTATCGACAGAAAGGCAGAGAGAGAAGCACATGAGGCCTTTGTCCAGGAACACATCGACCGACTACCGACCGACCACGATCTTCTTTTTCAGGTTGAGGCCGACAAGCGAGCGATGCGTAGGTACTGCCAGCGAGCCAGCAAACGACGGGCCTGGCCACCATGGTGCATCCCGATCGAGATGACATGGTTGATGATCGATCCCACCCTCCATCTTCAGGACCCAACAGAGCTCAGCAGACGGTTAGAAGAAAAGCAAGTAGCAGCTGCAGAAAAAAGGGGGGATGAAGATGAGCTTGCACACTACACGACACTGGGGCGATGCAAGAAGGGGAGGGAATTGCTCCGACGGATGGGTTGGACGGAAGGTACCAGGCTGGGACGTGTGCCGACAGCGACGGACGGGGCAGAAGGAGCCGCCTGGGAGCAGCAATCATATGCAGTTGGGAGGGGCAGATATGCAGGACTAGGTGCAGACGCGATTGCGGACCACAGTAAAGGGTACGTGAAGTACCTAGACCGATTCCTCGTACAATGCAGAAGCTGTCAGGTCACCCCGCTGGACTGGCACCGATCACAAGCATTCCCAGCCGAGAAACACAACAACAAAGAAGGGATACTAGGTAAACGTATACTACATGTCTACGACTCCTTTGGAATGGCTTGGCATTCAGGTATCCACGCACGTGGCTCACCTACAACGCAGGCGCCCTGGGCCCAAGGAGGCCTCCCACACCGCTGTCGGGAAAACGCCATCCTCTGCGTACAAGCGGCCCAATGGAGGGCAGCACAAGCGGGGGTGAGCACAGTCGCAACCAACTATGACGGCACCAACGCGTTTGCAGCCACCAACCGAGCTTTACTCAGAGCGGTTGCCTTTAGGCAAGCACACGAGCACGACCAGCGCTTCGCCATGGCAGCAATCGACCACTCCACCCTGACGCTCGAAGCTGCCGACGGCACAGTCGAAGCCGAGAGCGCCACAGGCGCCCAAATGGGCTTCACTCTATGCCCAAGGCAATTCAACGACGCATACAACTTGTACGTCACAAAATGGTGGGAACAAGGCCGCACAGACCCAGATCAGACCATCCACGACACGATCAACCCAGTCGCGGGCAACACCCACGATTTAGCTCTCAACACGTTCATGGACGACATCACCTACGTGCAGACAATACCACCCGCAGCGACGGCTGGAGATATTGAAAAACAACTCAACAACAACACTGAACGCCTGTCCCAAACAATAGCTGCAGGAGGATGGGGACTCAATAATGCTAAGACCAACCACCTACTATACCTCGTAGGGCAGGGCTGCTACGGGAAAACCAGACAACTAAGGCGCAGCAAGAAACAGCAGGGTCAGGCGCTTAGGGAAATGCGGGTACTAGGCCCCTACCTACCAGCTGGACAGGGCAACGCTGGCGAGGTCGCGCGGCGCATCGCAGCCATCCGCGTTGCATGGCGACAATGCGGGATCTTCTGGACCTCTAAGGTACCCCGACAAATAAAACGCATGATGTTCATGGCCTTCGTGGTAGGTGCGGCCCTCAGCGGTTTACCTGCGCTAGTTTTGACAGACGCTCATACAACAGCTATCGACAGCGTACTAGGCAAGTACCTACGGACGCTAGCGGGAGGAGCAATGTCGTGGACCAGAACAGATGGGACAGTGAGGTGCAACAACTTGCGACAGGTGTTCAGATATTGGAGACTCGAGCGCACATCCGTCTCTTTGCTGGTGCGACGCCTACGGTGGTACCAGAACTGGTCAAGGCACCCTTGGGAGCACGGAGCAGTCATTGCAGCGGTGTTCGGAACATCCAGACTAGACGCAGCTCAGGGCATACGCCGACTTGAGGGGCAGGGGTTTGTGGGGCCTACCTCCACCCCATGGGCACAGCAGTTTGCAGCCGACATGCATGTGATAGCAACAGTGGACGAGAGCATGGGATGGTACGCAGACAGGGAATCCGACCTCGCTATATTCGAACAGGGGAGTACGGAACAAAAAAACTGGTTACAAACAGACCCATCAATATTGTACAGTTACGAGCGAAATCGGGATGTGCTAACGACACGAGATGCGACGATACAGGGGGAGGAGGGCAGGGAGGAGGATACACTAAAACCATATTGGTGCGATCATACGACGAAGGGCGAAAACGACACAGAGCAGACGTGCGGCATGCGCTTCGCGACATACGCAGCACTAGCTGGGCATCGCCGAGAGACCCACAACATCCGACCTGTGGTGGCGTCCGTAATCGTCAACAACCAATGTCCCTGGTGCAAGAGCACATTTATTAACCGTAAGGTATGTGTCGACCACGCAGTCAGGGCAGTACATGGTCACGGTATCTGCCACCAAGACAGGTCGATGTGGTCCCACCCCATTTCCGACCCCAGCTCCCTTAACTGCCAGATCTGTAACCACGAGGCTCAAACTCTTGAGGACTACCACGCACACATACGTGAGCTCATTGCAGGGCCAGAGTCGATCAGAGCAGCACGGGGAGAAGGAGCACATGTCGCACGTGGGCCAGGGCGACTGGCGCATCAGGGCCAGCACGAAGAGAGGAGGAGGCGCAGCCGAAGGGCAGCGACCAGCACAGCGCCCGCACCTCGGCGGCGGCGGAGTCGGCTCGTCAGACACGCAGCAGTCGCAGCAGACACCGCAGCAGCCGCCTCCCACCCAGCGCAGAGGAGGAGGAGGTCGAGGTCCCCCAGGAGGCGGCCGCGGTGGGGGTGGAGGCGGGCAAGTGGAGCTGCGGGACCAGCTGAGATCGCTCCAGAGGCTCACTCTCCAGAACTCGAACGAGATACGCAACTTCCTGCACGTCACGGGAGAGTTCTGGCTGACGCCACTCGAACCAGAATGGGTGCAGGCGCCGATGGAGACAGGCAGGGAGTACGGGCGGAAAGTAAAGCAGCTGGGCAAAGGGCACGGCCTCGGCCCACCCCACGGCCAGGTGGCGGCGAGTCTAGTCGAGGAGATCGTGGCGGTTCTCGATACGGAGGAGCAGCAACTAGACGCGTCTCTCCTCCACGTGAGACAGCTACTGAAGGAGTTCATGAGCCAGCTCGACGAGCCCTGGGGACCAATCTTCATCACGGAGGTCTTCTTGCAGTGCAAGATCCAGGAGGCATGCAACAAGACGGGCGAGGACGTGGAGATGGACATCAAACAATGCAAGGCCAAGCTCATCTACACGATCAACACGGCGCCGAGCTTCAGGGCCGTGCTGTACGACCAGAAGCTGGAGCAGGAGCAGTACGACAAGATCGCGGGCTTCAAGGGGGACATATTCAAGCAGGCCCTGGGCCACGCGCTGGCGCACCTAGGGGCCACGAAGAGTCGCTCAGGAGGCCCGAAGACGGGCCTGGAGAGGGCGGTGGAGGCGCAGCTCAACAGGAGGTGAGCCAAGGCACACCTCAGCCAACGCCCAGCAGCTCGCCCCGCCCCGAGCGAGAGAGCCCCGCGGGCCAGCCCTCGCCAGGCCCGCAGCCCAGCGGAGCCAGCAGCTCGATGCCGAGCAGCGCCACCGAACCACGCCTCAACTCAATGGGGCGACCTCGTGCCTGGCCACCATCATCACCGCCAGTGAGTCGAGAGGAAAAAATTGCACAGCAGATTAGTGTTGACCTTGTTCGTATGACGAGTCTCAGAAGCCAGGCCGAACAGCACGGAGGACAGATGGCATACCTATACCGGATGGCTAAGTACTATCGGGACCTACGACCAAGGGATTATTACCAGCCTATGGCAAAACAATGAGGGGGACGGCGGTCTTTCTAACTATGCAGCCGTCACCCTACAATTACACGGGCTCCCACTACCTACGCCCCCTCCCCCACCAACTCCCACTTCCCAACCTATCATCTCTCTCCAGGCAATCAGCTCTCTACTAGTGTCACTCACATATGGGGTTTGCCTGTCATACAGTATTGCAGATGCACGCTCGAAGTCAGCAGTACCGCGACATCGTAATGGACAGCACACAGAACGACAGTACATGATATTGGGTACACATCGAGTACTATGACAGCATACACAGGGAACTACTATACCACATCAACCAGCACAGACATGCGATTGTGATCCGCTCAGCTACATCCAGCTCTTGCCTGCTTAAGCTTACAAATGTTACCTATCTCGACATCGAGAGACTAGAGTGAGTAAGAGTTGCATACTAAGGAAAGGCACAGGACTCCGACACCAGCGAACCACTGTGCCTACGCCTACTATCACACCAAGGTCTTACTACGATTCCTTACGACCCAACCACTGGGAACTAAGGAAACGACTACAATATCTAAGGTGCACAACAACAGTAGGCGGGAACAACTAAGGTAACAAGGAATGGTATACAGCTCGACATACTACCAGAGGACATTTGCGACTCGAGCATCTTCGCGGCTTCCCAACCAGTGCTGGCGGCCACCCCGCCTACATCCAGAGCCAGCGCCAGAGGGCGCACGACCAGTGCTGCGATGGCGGCGCAGGCGCACATGGAGAAGGGCGAGATGGCGAAGCAGCAAGATGCAGGAGACCATCTGCAGCCGACGATCGTGCAGAAGCCGCTCGACCGAGGAGGCATGGGAGGAGTGGCGGACCAAGTGGCGGGCACGGCGGCGTACAGGCTCGAGATCGCGCACAACACGCTCCAGAGCACGGCCGCAGCGTTCAAGGTGGCGACCGAGCACAGCAAGAAGGCCCTCCACGCGCTCCACAAGCAGCGGGAGAGGGTCGTGACCACCCTGGGCCGCTTGAATGCGAAGAGCCTCAACCCACACGAGGAGGCGGAGCGCAGCCAAGCGGAGCTCTACCTCAAGGAGCAGCTCCGCGACATCAACGGCGCCATCAGCACAATGAGGAGCGCCATCGGCATCACCGACGACAAGATGGGCAAGACCACGCACGGCCCGATGCCATGGGAGCTGGACTTCACGAGGCGCCAGTACGACGAGCTCGACAACATATACACGCGCTGGACGAAGGGCCCGCACGGCTACGCTTACGACGAGGCGTTCTTCGACGGCGACCTGCAGACGGAGCCAATGTTGGAGCCGCAGATGGAGATTAAGGACTACCTCCAGCCACCACGCAGGCCGCCGTGCACCAACCCGAGCAAGAGCATTGAGGGCTGGGAGAACCGTGGCAGGGTTCTCAGCAGTGAGGCGAGCTCGAGCACCGCCCCAGCCGCCGCCTCGGCAGTCACTAAGGATGACAGCTCAGGCCAGAGCAAGGACATCAGGCTGTCCTCGCCAAGGGCGGCAGCGGCGGCAGGCTGGGGCATCGGGCAGCAGCAGTAGTAGAGAGCAGACTGCACCAGGCCTGGACTCCCTTTTTTTTTCTCTCCTCACTACCGTCACAAAGGAGAGCTCGGCAGCAAGCACTCAACGCATGAGCCAGTGCGGCCATGCAATACATACTACTAAGTCGAGGGCAGGGAGTACCAGGCCGCCTCTTTTTTTTGCCTCTCTTACCGTCCTGGGAGTGGGGGGAGGTGGGATGGAGGGGAGCGGTGGTGGGCGGGCTCTCAGCGGTGAGGGGTGCGCCCAGGGAGGCAGCCCCACACCGCCTGCAGCAGTCGTTATACTGATACCGTGGCAGGGTCACCCTGCTGGCGAGGCACGGGGCCCCGTCGACACTGGCGGGCCCCGACGCCTCAGGCGGCCCCCCCAAAGCGAGGGTGGGCCCGCATCCGTATGCATCCCAGGGGTCCAAGCCTTTTTCGGTAGGCGGCAAGACCAGACCCCCAAGGGCCTTATCCTTATCCTTATCCTCCTCCTCCTCCTCCTCCTCCTCCTCCTCC